CCAGCACGTCTGTCCCCAGAGACTCCCAACGGGTTCCCATCTCTCTGGCAGATGCTGGAAGATTAACAAATGAGTCCCCTACGCATATGATCTAAGCATCTTTTACACTTACTTTTGTGCTGGGTCCTGGGATGAGTGGGTCTGTGTGTAAGCCCTTTAAGAGAGGGGATTTTTCATTCCCTAAAGCCCTCTGGTTCTCCTGGAAGTCAGCCCTGTTGGTTTTCAAGGCCAGGTGCTTTGAGGGTTCATCTCTCTGACGCAGTTCCCAAGGGCTGGGTTACCTGATGTGGAGCAAAACCCCTCCCTCCTCAGGGACAAGCTCTGTATCAGTGAGACCCTTCCCAGTTGCTGGTCTCTGTGCCTCGGGTGGAGCTGCTTGCAAGAGCATGACTGTGCCCCTCCTCCCCATTCCGTGTGGCGCTTCTATCCTTTGTTGTGGAGGCGCGGTTCAGCTAGCTTTCAGGTCCTTTTCAGAGGGAGCTGCTTCACGTGGAGATGTAGTCTGCTGTGCACGTGGGAGGAGATGAGTTTAGGATCTTTCTACGTTGCCATCTTGAACCTCCTCCCAATAAACTGTCCTGATAAAATATTGACAACAGCTATTAGGACCACGCAGATCTCCCAGGTCTGATTTACTCTTTCCTCAGAGCTAGGTCCCATGGCTCATGACACCCCAGATGCAGCCAGCAACCACTCGAAGCAAGATCCAAGACTCCGCTCTGGCCACCTGCTCAGAAAAGCACTTTCGATACATATTTATCAATTTGACATCCCAGTGGTTGTCACATAGACCAGATATGTGAGACAATGTCTTCCTTATGAAAAATTTTGATTCTTCATGGCAATCGGGTTATATACATTGTTAGCTTTATACACTGATACAGTATCTATATATCACAATGCCATGTGTGACTTCTTTGAAAGTGATCTTTTAAAAAACAATTAAGAAATCCAGGTGAAGAGGGATTAAAAATGTTTTAATTGTTGAAATACATCGGTAAACTGAGTAATCTACATTGCAGTACTAAGTGGCCACACATCCTCAAATAAAGAACTTTCCATACACCCCACGAACCATCAGTCACAAATCCTCAAAGAGAGTATAGAATTAACATGATGAGAACAGGAGAATCGATGGATACGAAGGATCCAGGGTGACATGAGCCTTCGGCTAAAGAAAACAGAAAGTTAATCGAAACGCGCATGGGGCATGCAAATTTCAGTGGCTTATTTTTAAATATTGCAACGTAAGATACACCGTTCCTAACTGAAGAAATTATCTGACGCTTAAATAAAGCTGAAAACCAAAGGTAAAAAAGGGAAAGAGGTAACAGTAAGAATCAACTTAACCATTATTACAGCTAAAAATTAACGTGACCTAGAAATAGTGAAAGGTAACACACAAATATATTACTTTAGGGAGTTCACATATAGTGCCTTAGTATCTGAAGTCATAACTAGAATAAGGATTTTGTTATATCAAAAAAGTATCAGTGAAAAGACATGATCTTCATGAGCTGTGTCGAGTGGCCAAGGTGACGATGCTGCCAGGCATAGCAGGCTGGCTCCAGGCGCCAGCTTGTGTCAGCTTGTCTTCCGCAGGTGGACCCCAGAAAGTCCCATCTGCCCGTGTACTGTTCACCCACTTCCTGTCTAGCACCACGACGTTCAACATGTACCCATGTTTCAACTACAGACTTAGGAATCTGGGTGGGGAGGGGAGGCGAAGCAGGTGACTATTTAGAATTTCCTTGGGAATTTCTGTGCACATTATGATGTCCCATGGGGTGCAATTCCTTCCAAATCTTAACGAGCAAGCTGTGAAGACAACAAACGTCAGAGGGGGAAAGAGTTAGCGAGCTTAAAAAAAGTACAACTCAGGGAAAACAAATATCAGCTTTAGGCTGGTTTTTTAGCTGATAATTTCAGCTAAATTACCTACTTATTCTTCCTTTCAGTAAAACACACATTCAAGATTCACTCAATACTTATTTAAGTCTAAATATGTGGCCAGCACAGCGCGAAGCACTGATGACACATATATAAAGAGACAAAGAGCAGTGGGGAAAGAGACTTACAGGCTTAGAATTAAAATATGACATGATAAGCGGCGCCTGGGTGGCTCAGTAGTTTAAGTGTCTGACTTCGGCTCAGGTCATGATCTCTCGGTTCGTGAGTTCGAGCCCCGCGTCGGGCTCCGTGCTGACAGCTTGGAGCCTGGAACCTGCTTCAGATTCTGTCTCCCTCTCTCTCTGCCCCTCCCCTGCTCTCACTCAGTGTCTCTCAAAAATAAACATTAAAAATACACACACACACACACACACACACACACACACACACACATATGATATGACAATGCCCAGACCAGCTGCACATCAACATCACCCAAATTAAAGACACAGACCGCTCAGCCATAACATCGTTTCTTTCCTACTTGGCCAAACCCTGCTGGCAGAGGTGTAGCCATCCACACTATCTCCAGCTCTTCCAGGGGAATCTGCTTCAGCCAGGCCCTCCATGGGCATCTGAGAGCATCACTCAAGCTTGTCTGGGCTGGGAGTACTCCACACATCTAGATGGGCACAACTTTCACCCAAGAGTCATCTGTAGAAGAAACTACTTTTGTAGCAAGACAGAAGTCTTGCAGGAGATTCTGAAATCATTCCGCAGTTTCAAAAAGTAACCAAATTAACTTTGAGCTCTGGTCACCGAGTGGCGTTATTTCGAGAGATTCTGCACATGCTAGGTCTAAAAAGTCTCCGATCCTTTCCATGAAGTATTTTTCTCTGCAAAGGACAGTCTTCTCGGGGTTTCTGAACAATAACTTAAGCCCAGAGAGCCATGAGCTCAGACATATCACAGGGAAGTGATGCTTAGCAACTACGGAAAAAGGAGAGCCTTTCAACTTAGAAAACTTCTCAGGCGATTCAAAGAGAGTGGGATGGCAATAAAATAATATGTGTTTATAGTCATGAGCAGTAAAGAGGTATTTCAGAAGTCGTGGGCTGGTTTACCAGCAAGATTGTTAAATTGTTATCAGGGAATTTCATATACGCAAAGTCGAACCACCATCTATCTTGTCCAGCTGTCCCATGAGAAAACAGATATTGAGAAAACCTGAGAGAAGGTAAGGGCTTCCTCTAAGGTTGTGCATTAGTAACAGAGCTCCTGAGTCTCCTGATACCCATCTCAAGACACCTCTTTGCACTCTATTCCTGTACTTTTTGAAATACAACCCATTTTGAGGAGAATAACATACGCTTGCTTGCAATTAGATTATCTTTTCTACTCGAAGCAAATAACAAAAGCATTTCTGCACAGGGGAAAACTAGCAGGGAATCTAGAGGGTTAGAACTCTATTAGAAATTCTAGAAACAGAGGCGCCTGGGTGGCTCAGTTGGTTATGCATCTGACTTCAGCTGAGGTCATGATCTCGTGGTTCGTGAGTTCAAGCCCTGCATTGGGCTCTGGGCTGACAGCTCAGAGCCTGGAGCCTGCTTCGGATTCTGTGTCTCCCTCTCTTTCTGGCCCTCCCCTGCTTGTGCTCACTCTATCTCTCTCTCCCTCAAAAATAAATAAATATTAAAAAATACTAGAAATAGAAAATCTCCAGCCAATTCCCAAAAAGAAACTCAACACTCTATGACGTGGTCATGGGCACCAGGGAATAAAGCTCCATGATGCTTTTGCCTTGAGGAGAAAGTCTTTGAAGAAGTGTCTACCCAAGATTGTTGTATATCTTGTCAGGGAGAAACTGATTACGGTTTCTGTGTCCCTGTCCCCCAGTGGGAAAGCTTATTTGTCTGCACCTGTAAGCTTATTCTGTGATCCCTCCCCATCTCAAACACCAACTCCAGTAACTGGCCATGAGTAAGAAGTTGGTTCAGTCTCAAATCAGTTTTGCTTTGGGTCTGCCAAAGGCTGGATTCTGGTTACAAAAAACAGTATGATGGAAGATGATGATGACGATGCTAATGATGACAACGATTTGCAGAAACTACCATTTATTTCATACTGAATCCTAACAACACCCTTTAAGCTAAGCATTAGTGCCATTCTACAGATTATAAAACAGAGGCTACGAGGGGAAAGTAACTTGCCCAGCTAATAAGTGAAAGAGCCTGAATTCAAATCCAAGGGTGTCTTACTCCCAAAGAGAATGGGCTGTCTCAGGAGAGAGGGCATTCCTGATCACAGGATGTTCAAGAGGCTGGATGTCATTCAGCAAGACTGAGAGGCAGCAGGGATCTAAGCATCATATGTGTCATTGGACAGGTGGAGTGAGACTTTCTGCCTCTAAGGAAATGCTACTGGGGATCTTTTAGAGACCGGCACACCTAGTGAATAAAGGAAAGCTTTTTTCCTGTCCTTGTTCTTGCTTGTCTTATGATAACTCTAACTCTAAGCTCTCCGCCAGGATAGCAGGTCCACAATGGCTCATCTTTTACACCGTGGTTGCTTCTGTGCATACTGGACATGTTTCGTGATACCCAACCTGTAAAACTTGGTCTATGATTTTACTCTTCCCACCTGCATAAGGGCATCTCTGTATACTGAGGACGGCCCATCTCTACATCTCTGCTCTGTATGAACCCTGGCTACTGATCCTGATCTAATTCTCAGTCCCAGCCTCTCTGGTCTCTCCCTATCTGTCATTTCCAAAGTCTCAGCCCCTCAGTTTCTGGTAACGAAAAGTGACACCTCCGTGTTTCAGGTAAACACTTAGCTTGTTCTTACTAAATGAATTAAGTTGCATTTGAAACAAAAAGAAATGAAAAATAAAATTAACTGCAAAGAAAATTGATCTAATTATCAAAGACCCCTTTACAATATCACATGCTCCATTTCCTAGAGTTAACCCCAAGATGTGACCCCGCCTACCTAATCTTGAAGTTCAAGATTTCTTAGAAATACATAGCAATAATATCTATTCATCCGTATATACATAGCAATATCACTCAAGGCTAAATATGTACAATTACTTAGAAAACATACAGTACCTCTTGATCATTGAGTCATGATATTTTCTTCTAATCTTAAAGAGAAAATTAAAAAAAGTTAAACGACCAGATTATAAAGAACATATTCTAGTTTCCTATAAAATGATGAATACTAGTGACATATATGTATGTGCTAGTCCAGATCATAAAGCAGAGAAATAACAATGAGAAACAAACAACTATAGTATGTTACAAATAAGGTAACATAGCCTGTGTGCAAATTATACATATTAACAATCCTTTCAAACTATGCCCCAGACAACTGTACGGTGGCCGATAATGAGCACTCTTCACCACGAGCCACACATTTAACAAGCTAGCTGTGAGGCTGCTGTTATGCACGCTATCATGAAAAAGACATCATTAGCCCCATCATTACTACTTATTAAAACAGAAAAAGGGACCTCGCTTCATTTACTTATACAATAGGCAGTTGTTTTTTCATCCGATCATCAGACTGCCATCACCATATAAAAGGAATATATTACAAGAACTTACCTTTATGTTCTAGAAGAACTCTGTAAACTTACTGAATCATTTGCTATCACTGTCACACCAATCATTACTGAGGTTAACAATAAATTTAAACTATCCGTGGGGAAAAAAAAAAATTTAACCCATGGAGCATAACCACAAATAGATGTTCAATTTTGCCCTGGAATTACTCTCACGATGTGGGTGCCAATTTCAACCAATGATTACAATGAACAGATAATGGCTTTTCTACATGGTTAACTGCAACTAAGTAATACGTAGGTTGAGCTGGGCAAGCTGAAACATAAATTTCATATTTTCCCCCACAAAACGAACAGATATTTAGAGAAAGTAAATATCACAATTTTACTTACTTTTTCGTACAGTCTTTGTTTGATTGGATACCATATTGACAGCTTCAGATGGGAGACCAACATATACCCCTCCATAGTTTCTTCATGAAAAGAAGCAGATACAGAAAAATCAGACCAATATTAAGGGAGCTCAATATTTGCAGAAAGTGATAGAAGCTTGGGATACTGCCAACAATTAGAGAATTATTAAAATAATTCATGACTTTTCAAAAGTAGAATCTGGAATATAATTGCCCTTGGAAATACAATGTTTTCTATGTTAAAAAGAAGCTCTATATGAAAAAAGAAAGCTATGTCAATGGAATTTTTTGATATTTAACTTGGAATGGAAAAGAAAAAAAGAAGTTGGGATTTTTGTAATTTAGTACAGTAATAAATATCCATAGAGTGACATGGTAGTTAATGAGTCAACAGTCATCAAGAATTTGGAGTGGTCAATGTGGTAGTTGCTATGGACACACAGAAATAATTCCCTGTAGGTACATATAATCATAAAAGGAGGGGAGAGAGAGAGCTAACGAGAAATGAGAGTGGAGTGCAGCCAACCAGAGGAGGAGAGGGAGGGTGGAGGTGAACACCTCCTTCATTGCTGCGACAATGAAGGAAGTCATCAGTTAGGGAGAAATAGCACATCCAAAGGCCACAGGATGGAAAACAGCTATGACAGGCCATGTGTAAAAGACAAAAATCGAGCATGCTTGAAAGCAAGGCCCGTGGGGCACCTGGGTGGCTCGGTTGGTTAGGTGTCCGACCTCGGCTCAGGTCATGATCTTGCTGTTTGTGAGATCGAGCCCCACGTCGGGCTCTGTGCTGACGGCTCAGAGCCTGGAGCCTGCTTCAGATTCTGTGTCTCCCACTCTATCTGCCCCTCCCCACTTATGCTCTATCTCTCTCAAAAATAAACATTAAAAAGAAATTAAAAAAAAAAAAAAAAAAGCAAGGCTTATGAACTCTGGGCAAGTTCTTTTTTAGATCACATGCTCCTACCTGTATTCTCTGTGCCAGAAGTTTTCTGGGTGTAACCAATGCTATTGGCAATGCACTAGTGTTAAATTACATCCGTGAGTTAAATTAATCCATGAAAGACAGCCAGAATTATTCACTTAATTAAAGCCAGATTCCATATCAAACATACCTCCTCTTGTCATCTTCCGTTATCGATTCTTCTGTTCTGAAAGGTCAAAAATATTTGTTATGAGCCATTTGGTCACATTGCCACAGACTTTATTTTTTGGTTATAAAAAGAAGAGGGCTACTGATTTAAAGTCAATTTTGCTTACTCAAGTTCTTCCATCAAGTATTTCTATAACACTCTTGTTTCCACCTCAATCATTCATGCACTAAAAAAAAAAAATGTCATTTTCTACTTAACAAAATGTGCAAATCCAGCAAATGCCAAAAAGTCCAACTGCTAACAAAAGGACAAATGGACGGCAACCAAGATTGGAAAGAGCACACTAACACAGCCTCAGGAAGCCTGGTCTCTTGTCATGGGTGTGCCACCAGCACAGACGGGCTGTGGGCAAGTTGCCAGCCTGCATCTCATCTGTAAATTAAGTGGCCGACCAGATGCCCAAGGTCCCCACCCTCCAGTCCTAGGGTACTGTGATTTTGTGATTCTCATGCCACTCGGTGGTATAATTCTCTCTAGGTATGAGAGATTTCTTTAGTGCAGAAGGGTGTTACGTTAGTTTGACTTCCTTCTATATAAACGGGCCATTTTACATATGATCTACTGCACAGAGAAGGAAGAAATGTTTAAAAGGTGACTTTTAGAGGGGATCACAATTTTAAAATGTACAGCATCTTTCCTTGCATGAGAGGAATCCATATTCTACTGATACTCCTTGGCATATTTCTAAGAGGATAGGGAAGCTTTCCCTCAAGCACTAGTTAGCATACATAAGTTACTCTTCTTAAAGGCAAAAAACCAAGATTCAAATGTATCTGGCTGAATCCAACATGTAATCCTAAAGGGCTTTAGGATTTCAACAAGAATGAATGAATCACTGAATCTTCTAATTTTAGGGATTGTCTGATCGTGGTTTCATCCACTTAAAAGCTGGGAATGCTTCAAATGAATATGTACAAGAGATTTTGCTTCATTGCAACCTCCAGTAAGTCTCAAGCCTCTGCAGAAGGGAGGTGTAGATTTGGAAATCGTCCGTTGAACACTGGCCACGCCCACAGCTACTACTCCGATGGAGTGCAAAATCCATCTTGAGATCTAATTTATCCAGATTGAGCACATAACCTAAATTTGCCAGATAACCGTCAATTTCATTCATTTCTTGCTAAAGCTGGATCGTTTTTTAATTCAAAGGTGTCAAAGTCATACTGTATTAGAAATGGTGTTAAGCTTTAGGGAAGTGGTATACAAGGTGTTGTTCACCACTTTTAATTAAAATGGATTTATAGGGGCGCCTGGGTGGCTTGGTCGGTTAAGCGTCCCACTTCGGCTCAGGTCACGATCTCGCGGTCGGTGGGTTCGAGCCCCGCGTCAGGCTCTGGGCTGATGGCTCAGAGCCTGGAGCCTGTTTCCGATTCTGTGTCTCCCTCTCTCTGTGACCCTCCCCCATTCATGCTCTGTCTTTCTCTGTCTCAAAAATAAATAAACGTTAAAAAAAAATTTTTTTTAATGGATTTATAACCCGTTAGTATAGATAATAGGGCAATGATGGTGACTAACTGGTTCGAGATTATTAGAACTGTTTACCTTGGTCCCAAATAGCTAATCCCATCATGATGTTGTTTCTGAAGCTACTGGTAGGTTCGGACAAATACAATGTCTCATTTTCTGGCACAGATATATATATTTTTTTCATATCCAACTCTGGATAATTCTTTCTTAATTCTTTCTCCCCTTGCCTGATTCTGCTTAAGGATACACTAAAAGTTTTGGGGCGCCTGGGTGGCGCAGTCGGTTAAGCGTCCGACTTCAGCCAGGTCACGATCTCGCGGTCCGTGGGTTCGAGCCCCGCGTCGGGCTCTGGGCTAATGGCTCAGAGCCTGGAGCCTGTTTCCGATTCTGTGTCTCCCTCTCTCTCTGCCCCTCCCCCGTTCATGCTGTGTCTCTCTCTGTCCCAAAAATAAATAAATGTTGAAAAAAAAAATTTTAAAAAAAATAAAAAATAAAAAATAAAAAAAAGTAAAAAAAAATAAAAAAGTTTTAAAATATATTTTAGCTCCCCCAAATATAAGAAAATAGTAAATTATTTTTAATCTACTGTCTCTTATAAAGTATTCAATATCCTGAAACCCACTCTGTGCTCTCCATTATAAAATTAATCAACAACCTTGCACATCTAACTTGCAGGAAATGATAATGCAGCTGCCACAGATACTGGGTGATAAATCAAGCTTCAGACAAATTACTAAGTCATTAAAAATACCATTTATAAAGACTTATTAGATACCCGCTCTTTTAAGCCTTCAAATGCGCTACAATGCCTGCCTTTGTATATATGCCCCCACGTGCGAGGCCGCTCCTTCATCTGTTCCTTCCACACACAATTATTCTACAATACAAAGACCACATGGGTAAAAATGGCGGCATCGCTGAGTCTCTCCTGTGTGTCAGACACAGGGCAGGGCACTTCACAGGCATCTCACAGGGCACCTCACAACAGCTCTGCGAGTTTGGACCTGGGGAAGCAGGTTCACAGAGCCGTGTCATTAATAAATATGTGAGCCAATTAATAAATATGTGAGACCAACAAGCAAGACTGACATTTAGACCCCGCCTGACACCAAAAACCGTGCTCCGTGTTCTAATTCATCACTTGTCTCTCAACTAGGAAGATGGAAAAGTCAGAACGCTGCCAGTGACAAAACAGCAGGTGGCCACTCCCGACCTGGGACCTGCCTCCACACCGCTCTTGCAAAAGCTTTTGAGCATCACCTGGCTCTCACAGCCTCCTGTGGAACTGTGCAGGCATTCTGCTCGTGCTATTACATGGCTTCCTCATCACACGGTGGCTTTTAGCCACGTTTTCAACATGAAAACCTGAGGCTCTGAAAGGCTGAGTCAGTAGCATGACCAAGGTTACAGAGCCAGGTAACAGAGCCAGAATTCAAATCTCAGTTTGTGTGATTCCGACTCCTGTTTCAGAAACTGTGAGCCCATACGCGGGTATATCAGAGAAACACCCCCATCCACCAAGCTGGATCTCTCCAATTTTTATCACTCTGTTTAAGGAAAGAGGAAAAAGTAAGACAGTAAAAGAGTCTTAATCAACATTTTGTTAGCATTCGGAGAAACTTCTAACTGCTCCAGGGGCAGTCAATCCTCACAGAACTTGCTGAATTGCTATACAACTCATTTTTATACAAGTTTAAAAATTGTCCTGATGGACAGTTATGTTAGAATCTATTCATCTGAACAGCCAGATCCAGACTGAGGTTAAATCAGAAAATGGTGGTTGGTCTAAGTCCAATCTCCTTGTGAACTGACAGGTCCGAGCCAGTGTGGTCAGATGCCTGGGAACCAAATGCTGCCCTGCCCGTGGCCAAGTGGACAGCATCCTACCAGCTGGCATAATGTGGTCCTGACCCAACTGCATTAGAAGAAGAAATGGTCCATCAAGCAGCAGCAGAGATTCCTGAAAGGTCATGTCTTACTGAAGAGAAGTGGACATTATCTTGGAGCAGTCCAAAACTTGGGGTTGAACTTACTATATACTGCTAAGCACTTACCAAGCCTTCAGAATTCTAATCCTTGGGGAAATTCTTAAGTTTTGAAGAATGCCCTTGCTGCTTAAATATCTGGGCTGCCCCACATGTACACCATTTTAAAGAATCATTGGGTTTTGTCTCCTTATACAACAAAATTTGGAAAGATTTTGTTATCAACCCGCCTTAATAATTCATTGGCAGATATTTTCTCAGACGTACAGGTGCCCAAAAGAGCTTCTGTATCGTTCCAATTTTAGTATATGTGCTGCCGAAGCGAGCACAAGAGCTTCTGATGAGCACGGGATGACCCAGGAGCAGCCTGTGTCTCTGACTCAAAGGCAAATCAGTTTTACATTTTGGTAAGCCTGTGCCATCTCCTTTCGGACACATGCAGATTTCTGTTTGGTTTCCGAAGTCATGAAAATAGTCTGTGGTCGTCTGTCAGTCCCACTGATCCAGAACACCAGGCTGGGAACCGTGCTCAGGCCAGAGCGTCCCCCACCCCCACCCCCACCCCCACCATGGAGGAACTTCTATTTTCCACTGAGGACTTGATTATTTTTCTCTTCTGGTCACTACAGTTTAAGTGGGAGGGCAGTAGCTACTGCGAGGCCTGCAGCTGTGAATGTCGCTCAAGTACTAAATCTGGTCCCCCAACCGGTGAAGGAAGTGGAGGGAGCCACACCTCCCCCAGCTTTGTGTGAACAGCAAGCCATGGACAGATGGTCTAGAAGGTCCTCAGCACTACCCTATACGCTGCCGGCACTAAAGCAGAGAGGTAAGGGCACAGAATGAGACGGCTCCAGCCTCGAACCTTAGGGAGAAGAGCCTGAAGCCTGAATTGTTCCCTGCTAGAAAACATCAACAGAGTGAAACCTAGGCCAATTCATGGCAGACAAACTGGAAAAGAGGATAAACTGCTTTGCTGCACTTAAGCCCCGCCCTCCTCAGGTGCTAACTGGTCCCAATATCTCTACAAACTCAGCCTACCCATAATCTTGTTCCCTTAGAAAAGGAGCAAGGACACATACATCAACCAGGCTAAATCCCCCATCATGGTAATCCACTCCCAAAGAATAGTTCTGAAACACAGTTCAAGAGTCAACGCCCAGACAGCTACAAGCAGAGGCACTGAAAACTGGGAAATGTACCAGAAACAGGGAAGAATCCTTGAGGATGAGGTTTCTACTAGGAGACCCAAACACGGAGTTATAAGAGGTAAGGGACCAGCTACCATAACCAAATCACCTACAAACAAAAAGTGAAAGGTAATTTTTACTGACTCCTTTCCCCTCCATAGAGCCACAGGCTGGGGTCAAGGAGAGGGAGGGAAAACCAGCACAGATTACCAAGAGGTCAAGAGTGATCTGGAGACAACTATATGGCATTTCAAGACAAATTCTGCTCCTGCTCGGGCACCTATGCAGGACTCTGTTTCCTGTCAGCTGTGACCTCTCGCTTCCAAATCCTGCCCCTCCCCACACCCTGGGCTGTGGGGCTGGGACTCTGGCAAAATGCTCTCCTCCGCTGCCAGGCTCCCTATTAGGTTCCACCAAAGGGAATGCTAGAGGGACATAAAAAAGAGACATAAACGCAAAGGAGGGAAAGAGGGCTGCTCTT